ATACACAAAACTACTATGCACACAAAATGATTTCGTGCTTTTGCCGTTTAAAATCTCTAAAGTCAAATAAAAATTTGCTCTTCGCTCCTGTAGACCCTTAAAGTCATCATTTCATAGTAAATAGAAATTTTTTGTGCAAATAAAAAATAATTTTGATTTTTTGTCAAAGATCCATTTGATACTACAAATGCTTCGAAGCACCGCATCATAACCGTTCATAATCGTTCCCATCATCGACCAATCATAATCGTTCCCATATAACACAACGTCTAAAATCGGGACATAAGACATCTTAAAGACGTCTTAAAGACATCTTAGGGACATCTTACATTTCGATCTCTGAGAGATGTCTTTAAAATGCCTTTCAGACGTCTTATGTCCTGATTTTAGATGTGTTGTGTGGGTTTTTTATGCGCTCCAAAACGCTGTTAGTTTTAAATGAATTTACCCAAAGATATTCATAAATACGATATAAGACGATTATTCCATATACGTTTATCAATAACTGTTTTAGTTTGTCATTGCGTAAATATAATTATATCATAAAATAACTGCGCAACAAGCTGATAGTTATTGGTAAACGTATACAAAATATAGTCTCAATTCATTAATTGAATGTAAAATAGTCTGGATGAGCGCGCCATCTCCAAAATCCTGATGTATCTTTTTGACCCTTAAACAAAAAAACTGTTAATAATTACGGCAGTTGATATGTTCGGTTTCTAGATTATGGCTTTTGGGAAGATATACGTCGGAAATCTGACGTGGTCGTCTATACTAACCTAGAATCAAGTAAAGGTGGCGTTCCATGACATATATTTTAAAATCGTATTGTGAAATCAGAAGCGTTACGCATTTTCCGTTATGATTATGCTAAAAATCGCATATACTTTTAACGTATTATGGATTTTCATACGAAACGTATGTGTATAATGATCGGCGTTTATCACAGACGGTGTTTGTGAGAATTTTCTTTTAATAAAGTATATAATTTACTGTTTTGAAACACGGATATTTTTTTTAATCACTTTTCCTTTCTTCCGTTCAAATTATTTATGAACTGATTTTTGCATCACATGGAGCAAATAAATTGACATTATATTGACCCTTATAATTGTAATGAGATTGTTGAAGACCACTGTTTGGAATAAAAAAAAACTAGTCCTTTGATGATGCATAATATTAAAATTAATATTAAATAAGGTTATCATCTGCTATGCTGTTTACGACTTTCATTCGAAAATATTTGAATTCAATATCTCTTTCCCTTCCTCCCCTTCGCCCTTTCTTTTCCCTCTTTAATATATAATAAAAATTTATCTGAACTCATTCCGTAACTTACAAAAGGACTGTACAGTCGTGGACAAAAAAATTAACAAGTATGTAAGTTCCGAAATGTATACCGTTTGTCCAATGGGAGAATTATTCCATAGGACAAACGGGATATATTCCAAAACTTACGCAGAACATATTCGTTACATTTTTTGTTCACTACCGTATACAATAGCTGCGTTCCGATATTCGATTGGCAGCACTGGAAATCTATAGTTCATGTTATATAGATATCATCTCGGACTATATACAGGACAACTAAACAGTAACAACTGAAGAGGCAAATAAGGAGTACAGCACGGATGCTTTAAATCCGTGCTGTACTCCTTATTTGCCTCTTCAATTGTTACTGTTTAGTTATTCTAAAAAGGAGCTTTCTATAATTTCTGTATATACAGGACGTTTGATACAAGACATACAAAACTATATGTGAATTTAGAACTTATTAAAGTTCTGCTATCTCGCCGCAGAAAGTCTGAATTGACAGTGGCGCCTAGCAGTGTCGAGAACACGAAATAACCGTGTCAGCGTAGCTAATTGGCTAACACTAGGCTAGGCTTACATTAGGCCTCGCTTGATATCTCGGAAAATTACTTGCGTTTTATCGCGTTATTTTTCAGTTTCTCCGTGAAGTGTGTATATTATCGTGATCCTCACAGCCGTAAAATGTATGTGCAAACTCAGTGATATTGGTGATACATTGTGAAAATCGAGAAATTAAATGTGTTCATACAGGCTGGTATCTCAGCTATCAAACCACCGAAAAATGTAGCATTATTTAAGGAATTATTTTACGATACTACATCAGTCAGATATCTAAGTTTGTTATACTTTTTACAGATTTCAGGATTAGGACATTTTTTTATTTGGTTCTTCAGAGAAAAGTAAAAGAAGCAATAAAACGCAAAGGATTTTCGGTATGTCATTGGCTGCATTCAGCAGAACTCAGCGCTTTGTAAACGGTTTAATGATACATTGCAACAGTTTAGATGTTCTGCTGAACGTTCTTTGGGGGCATGTCATATATATATATATATATATATATATATATATATATGTGTGTGTGTGTGTGTGTGTGTGTGTGTGT